GGGGACAGGATAGAGGTCTCTAAAAGCAGGGGTTGGGTGGAGAGGGTGCATTCAGAAAAGTTCTTCATGCGTTCCCATAAAGAAGGACTAGAGGACACCAAAGGAAAGGAATGGGTAGCAGGCTTCAAACTAGTAACAGAAAGTTGTTCTTTACAAAGCAAATAGTTAACCTGTGGAACTCCTTGCTGCAGGAGGCTGTGAAGGCTACAACTAGAACAGAGTTTAAAGGGAAGTGAGATCAAGTCATGGAGGTTGGGTCCATGGAGCCCTATTAGCCAGAGGGTAGGAGTGGTGTCCCTGCCCAAAGTTTGTGGAAGGGTGGGGAGGGGGGGCACGAAGGCTGGAGAGGGATGGCACGAGACAAATGGCTTGGTCACTGTCTTCGGTCCATCCCCTCCAGGGTCCCTAGGGTTGGGAGCCACTCTAAGATACCCCCAGCAGCTGTGCAGCTTAACATTAAGACCCACAGAGGACCTCTGTGTTACACATCAATCCCTGTTACACATCACTTCTGTGTTAACCATCACTCTGTGTCGAACAACAGGCCTGTCCTGAACGTCATTCCTTGTCACAAATCACCACTGTGTTGCACATCACTCCATCCTGCAAATCACTCTTTCTTACTCATCACCTTCACATTGCACATCATTATATGTTACATGTCACATCCATACTGGTGCACATAAGAAAATTCACCCTGTACAGGATAGGAAAATCACAAACCACACTCTATCCATACCCCTTCTCGGATGAACTTTTCCAGCTACATGGGGTTGTTTGCCAACCTGAAACACCCAGGTCCATCAGGTACATGTGCAGTGCTAGATCCTGGCAGGATCCAATGGCTGGAAATTGGGACTAAAAAATACAAACAGAAACTACGGTGTGAATATTTAACATTAGGATGTGGGTTCAGTGAGGGTACAATTTACTGTGGGTCATGATGGATTCTCCATCACTGGCACCATTTGATTTCAGAAGGGATGTTTTTAAGGGATATGCTGGTTGAAACAGGAATGACTTCAGGGCTTTTTCGGGCCTGTGTTACATGGCGCTCAGGTTGGATGATCACGATGGAGTCTCTTCTTGCCTTGGAACCAGTGGTTTGGTCTAAAGCACGGCTGGAAACAGGCTGCCCAGAGCAGGTAGCCGGGTACATACAAGTGCTGCCAGACATTCTGCTGAGTTGTTAGTTTGTCCGCTCCAGTGAGGAGCCCAGTAGCAAATTTTGTTCTCGAGGTCAGTACAAGGGGAATGACAAAGTCGTCCCTTAACCTTGCTCTGGGGAAGCCAAAATAGCCTCGGCTCTTAAAGTCTATGGCTGTGAGGTGTGTCCATGGGCAGTTAACCCTTTGAAGCAGGTTAAGTCTCTGAAGAAGAGCAGAAACACAAGCATCAGCTTCACTGGAACTGAAAAAAAGCCCTTATAAATTAGAAGGCCATCACACAATGCAGGCTGTCCCATTCACATGATTTGGCTAGGGCCAAATAGGATAGGAGCAGATTAGCATAAAGGAGGAGCTTAGCTGCTCCTCACTCATGAAGACTGATATAAGGGCCAGGAACTCCCCGGCACAGTCAGCGTGACCAGTCTCTCCCAACGCCAGCAGGCAGCTCTCGGAGGGGACAGTCACCCTGTCTGGCAGGGCTCCGAGGGCCTGAGATCTCCTCACAATGCTCTGGGCTCCCCTCATTGTCCTGCTGGGGACGTGCTGCACAGGTGAGGACGGGAAAACCTTGAGCTTGTTGCTGGACTCTGTGCAGAAACAGTGTCACTAGCACCCACAGTGCTTCACAACCTTTGTCTTTATTTTCCCAGGATCTAGCTCGCAGAATGTGCTGACTCAGCCGCCCTCAGCATCAGTGTCCCCAGGAAACACCGTGAAACTCTCCTGCACCATGAGCAGTGGGACCAGCATCAGTGGCTACACTGTGTACTGGTACCAACAGAAACCAGGGAGTTCCCCACGATACCTGCTTTATTATTATTCAGAGTCCAGCAAAGGCCAGGGTTCCGGGGTCCCTGCTCGCTTCTCTGGTTCCAAAGACACATCCAGCAACACCGGCTATTTGACCATTTCTGGGGCCCTGGCGGAGGATGACGCTGACTATTACTGTGCTGTGTGGCTCAGCAGTGCTTGTCACAGTGACACAGTCAGTGGGGAAGTGAAACAAAAACTTCTTTGTCTTCCCTTCCACCAGCCTGGGGCCTGCACATGCTGCTAGTTTTGGTCTCTCCCTATAACATATCACACTAATACTTGCTCTTCACAGCACATAGCAGCTCCTTACAGCCGGTGATGGGATCAGAGCCAGATTAAGAGACAGGCACCATCTATATGCCTAGGCCCAGGTTGTCCCAGTCACACATCACATGAACAGTTGGTCTATGGAGTAAATTTCACCTCCTCACATCTGGAAGGGGCCTCAAGGCCAGTTTATGTCACAGGCTCTCTAGGCTTCTGTTCTGTGTCCCAGGTTCCTGGTACAATGCTGAGGTCAGAATCCCATCTTTAGAAAAATCTCTTTCACCATCATGATGTAGTACAAACCTGAGTAATGTGATCTGCATGTAACAGAGCCTGCCTGAATGCGCAGAGAGCCTGAAACAACAGACACAGCATTTCTGTAGCTTCCCAATTGCACCCCCCAGCACTTTGAGGGCAGAGTTACTGAGGCTGTTCCTACAAAGGTCTGCTGGGGAGGGGTCAGCAGGCAACCCCACAGAGCCCTCTGCCTGGCTGGGTGAGAACTAGCCCTCCTGCTGCAGGGCCAGAGTGCTAGTGACAGGTGCACTGGGCCAGAGAGCTGGGACTCCCATTCTACACCAAATAGAATCCACTTGCTGTGCTCTCTCCTGTGTTGATGGCCCTGGCCCTGACAAGGTGAGGAGCAGCAGGGCTGCACTGTGGGGGTGGGTCTGTCATACAGTTTTGGTGGATACAGAAGCTTGCCCGAGACTTCAGATTGCCTGTCTCTGACAGGGACAGCACTGTATGGCCCCTGTCCCCCTCAGACTGCTGTGCTTAGGCTGAACCATCTCTGCCCTTCCTCCAGCCCAGTCTCTCTTGGGCGATGGAGCTGGGTGTATCAGACTGTAAAGGAATCAGAACCCTGGCTGAGCAGCCCCCGGAATCGCTAGGGGAGGGAAGGAGCCACCGACCTGTTCTCTCAGGAGTTTTCACGACTGCTGCAATTCTCCCTTCACAGTCACACCTGCTGGGGAGCAGGGAAAATGGGTGGAGCTGCAGCCCTAGTAAAGCCTCATACAACATCCCCCTTTACTTTTCCACGGCTCACTGTCCTATGACTGTCAAATCTGCCTCCTCGCTGTCCAGCTGGGCTCTGACACAGGGTCTCTCAAGCTGTTCTTCATAGTGAGTGGGAGCAACTTGTCAGCCTGGGTAGAAGTGTTTGTGTCAGGTGTTGGCTCTACAAGGCCGGGGAAGCGCAGGAGAGTTGCTGTCTGCCCAGGCTCTGACCAGAGTCAGTCCTGGAAGCAGCGTTGTGTCCTGACACCCTGGCAAAGTGCTGGGCTGAGATTCCTGGGAGAACCAGGGAATAAAACTCCTCAGTATAGACCCAGACTCCATAGCACTGATTGCCCCTCTGCCAGGGAGCCGGCCTGCCAGAGCGAAACCTTTGCCGGGCTCACAAAGGGCTGACACTGGTGTCACAAGAGGGATGCTGCTGTGAGGGAGAGAGGTGGCAATACCAATATCTACAGGGAGGTGGGGGGAGGTGGCTTCTCTCCTTTCCAGGCAGGTGCAAGTGCCCACGTGCTGGGGGAATCCCTTCCACAGCTGTGAGCAGGCTGGGGAGTGATCAGTCCAGAGAAGAACACCCCGACAGGAACAGCGGGAAGGCTGGAAACAGCTGTGCAGAGGTGGCACCTGCAGAGTGGGACAGTCAGTGGGGGCAGCGTTCGGAGGAGTCAGCCAGCAGGGTCTAAGCGCCTGTGAAAGGCGGCAAGGACTGGCCAGAGCAACACCAACACTGACCAGCAGGGGGAGCCCTCCCCTGTCCAGCACTGGCGCTGGGAGTCCAGCAGTGCACAAGTGTCAGAGGGCCCAGCACTGGGCTGGAGACGTCTCTGGGCTTTGGGGCTTTCTCTCCTTCCTCCACTCTCCCAACTTTCGCTATTGTCTCAAACCCCACTCCCCTCTCTGCGCCCCTCTGGGGCAGGGCTGTTCACACTGGCATCCTGCTTGCCATGGCAGAATGGGCACCACGAGTTCACCAAAACGCAACCCCAGGGAAGGGAGCTGAGAGGAGAGGAGCAGTTCTCTCCCTCCTTCTGCTGACACAAACCCCTCTCCCCCCTCTTTTACCCCTCTGCCCACGCACACACACACACAGACACACTCGCCTTCTGCAGGGAGCAGCTACTGAAAGCTGTCAGGAGCCAGCTGCTCTGGGTACAACCCCTCTCCCCTCCATGGTTCACAGCATCTGTGGTGTGTTCTTTGCCATCTCTAGGTATGTGTCTCTGATAATGGTCTGTACAGATATAGCGCTTTGGGAGCCCGTCCCCCTCACAATCAGCTTTATTTTCCATTCTCACAGAATGCTACGTTTGCAGAGACCTCAGGACATCATCGAGTCCAACCCCCTGCTAAAATAAGGACCAACCCCAACTAAATCATCTCAGCCAAGTTTTCCTTCCAACTGGAAAACAGAACAGCTCGCAGGCCTGTCAGTAGCTGTCTCTGAGTGGAGGGAGGAGTCAGAAGCAGCCAATGAACAGGGAGCAGATTTGCATGAAGGAACAAGTCTCCAGCTTTGAGGTTTTTAAGAGACAATCAAAGGATCCCAGCCACGGACCTGTTTGGCTCAGGAAGGATCTACCATGGCCTGGGCCCCTCTGCTCCTTGTGCTCCTTGCCTACTGCTCAGGTGCTGTGAAGGAGGGAGAAGCTATTCTCAGTCGATCAGTCACAGGGGACTTTGATTTGGAAGTCATTTCTGCCAGTGGTTGTTAGCAGAGAGCTCTAATCATCATGATCTTACTCTGGGTTTTCTCCTTCTCTTGCAGGTTCCCTCTCCCAGTCCATGCTGACTCAGCCACCGTCAGTGTCTGTGTCTCCAGGGCAAAATGCTCAACTCACCTGCACAGGAGAAAAGGTTGATAAAAACTATGTGCACTGGTACCAACAGAAACCTGGACAGGCCCCCCAACTCGTCATATATAAGGATAGTGAGAGACCCTCTGGAATCCCTGAGCGATTCTCTGGGGCCAGCTCTGGAAAAACAGCCACGTTAACCATCACTGGGGTCCAGGCGCAGGACGAGGCTGATTATTACTGTCAGATGTGGGACAGTGACAGTAGCTCTGCTCACAGTGACACAGCCTGATGGGGAAGTGAGACACAAACTGCCTGTTGACATGAGGGGGGGTGGTTCTTCAATCTTTCTGTGACTGTTTGAGGAGCCCAAACCCTTCTGCGCAGCCTGGTGTCACAGTATCGCTCCTAGTAATCAGTGGGGTGGGTAAGGGATGAATCTTCCCTCTCCTAGCATAGGCCCACCAGTTTGCTACACTGCTTGTGACTGAGAGCCCTGGGGGTCCTGAGGAAAGGGAGGGAGCCACGTCCCTGCCTCTCAGGAAGGTGGCCAGGTTCCTCATCGGCCCACCAGCTGCTCCTCTTCTAAATCAGATGCTCAGAGGCGTGAGGTAAGTGCACAGCGGTGCCGTTGCCAAGTGCTGTGAGGGCTGTCACTGGGCACCTGCAGGACTGGGCATGTGCAGAGCCGGGCTTGAGCACTTAGGAGTTTGTGGAGAGTCCCCCGTGAGAGCAGCGCTGGGCCTCAGGAGGCAAAGGCGGCTCCTCTGCAGTGTCGTATCCCCGGGTCAGTGGGATCCCGAGCGCGTGGCAGGAAGTGCGTTCCAGCCCACGGAAGCTTTGCCCAAAGAAATGTGTTTGTGTGTCGGTGCCGCAGGACTCCTCCTCCTTGTGGCTGGGACCGATGAACATGCCACACCTGTTACTTTGGCAGTGTTATCAGGCTTGGGACAGATCATGGTACTTTAATCTTTTTCAACCTGATTCTGACTGCTGGACACAGGGGCAGCATTTGGAGTGGAACAATGTCTGACTTCTCTGCAGCTCTCATTATATTGCACTCTCAGGCTGCTTTCTGCAGGCTTGCAGTTCGAGGGCAGGGAGGACAATACTTCCCTCAGTTCTCCCCCCTATCACTCCCTCAGATATTAGGAATGGCAACATACAAAAACCTGTAGGGGAACACTTCAATCTCCCTGGACACACAATTGCAGATCTAAAGGTAGCCATCCTGCAGCTAAAAAACTTCAGGACCAGACTTCAAAGAGAAACTGCTCAGTTACAGTTCATCTTCAAGTGTGACACAATCAGCTCTGGATTAAACAGAGACTGTGAATGACTCCTTAACTACAACAGCAGCTTCTCCTCTCTTGGAATTCACACCTCCAGATCAGCCGCTAGAAGTGGGCCTCATCCTCCCTGATTGGATCCACCTTGTCATCTCCAGCCTGATTCTTGCCTGCACATTTATACCTGCCTCTGGAAATTTCCACTACTTGCATCTGACGAAGTGAGTCTTTGCCCACGAAAGCTTATGCTCCAACACTTCAGTTAGTCTATAAGGTGCCACAGGACTCCTCGCCGCTTTTCCTGACTCTAGAATGTCTCAGTCTGCATCTGGGTGCTTGCAGCTGCCTAGGTAAGGGATTGATCCCTTCAACTGAAAAGTTGTGGCCCTGATCATCCAGACCCGAGAATCAGCTCTAGATCTTACCCTTGGGGCATTTCATTTAATACCAACCATCAACCAGACATCGAGCCGTTGATCACTACCCATTGAGCCTGACAATCTAGCCAAATTCTATCCACCTTACAGTCCATTTATCCAACCCATGCATTCTTAACTTGCAAGAATACTGGGGGAGACCAACATTAAAAGCCTTGCTAAAGTCGAGGTATATCATGTCCATGGCCTTCCCCACATGTACAGAGCCAGGTACCTCCTCAAAGAAGCCAGTCAGGTAGGTCAGGCATGACTTGCCCTTGGAGAATACATTTTGACTGTTCATAATCACTGTTATCCCTTCCCTAAGAATCTCAGTCTCAACGGATTAGCTCAGAGATAAAAAGGCACCAGGATCATGTAAGTGGGCCCAGACCCAGGACAGGCATGAGGCATGTGCAGTCGTCCCTCCCTTCCACCCCCGCACATGGCCCCATATTTTATTAATGGATTCTTTCCAGGCTTGAGGAGCCTGTCTCCAATGACTCCCCTGGCTGAGCCCCTTGGGGCCAGTGGGGTGGGTGGGGC